CCGTTTTCGTTCTCCGCAGGACATGGGCGATGCAAAGGATGACAGAAAGAGAAGCAGCAGCTGGCTAACGGAGCCTGGAAATAGAGGGCCTATTGTGTTATCTGACACCTGTCGGGTCTCCGCACAACTCATATCCCTGCAGCTTCCTGGAATCAGCACTCCACGGTGCAGGAAAATTCCACAGTGACCAAATCCTCCGGCAGGGAGCTGCTCCAGCCTCCCCCAGCTAACCTTTCACATCCCCACTCTCCCTAGTCCACTTCCATTAAAGCCGGTTGCGTTTGCAAACTGCCAGAGCTAACTGCATTCAAACAGGAGGCTGTTCTCCCACTCAGCCCCAGAGGAGCCTACGGGGAGGTCGTCCCATTGGATTTCTGACACCAAAATCATCTCCCGGCGCAGCAGGAAGGATGGGCTTGCCTCGTTTGACTCCTCACCTCGTCAGGGACAAATTCTGGGTCCGCTTCTTGACGGCCACAAACTTCCTGGTGACCCCAGGCAAGTCGTTGAACCGCCTCTGTGCCTCAGTTTCCCCCCGTATTGCCGTGCTCTCCAAACACGATTTAAGCGCTTTCTGATGCCACAGATGCATCCCGCATCGTCACTGTTTTACTTATGATTCACAGTTTCTAAACACGCGTGAAAGGGCAGGATTTCAGACCAGTGGGTATGGAGAGGAGAGGTACTTGTACCCGCTGGAAAACGTAGAGGCCTCTTCAGCCCCCTTTGCTTCCGTTTCTGCTCCCGAAGGCCACGTGTCAGCCGCCCCCGCCCTCTAGACTGCTGCTTTGCCCAGAGAGGGCGGGAGAGCAATGTCTGATGGGGGCGGAGAGCACACAGCTCCCATCTCTAGCTGGCGGTTAAGAGGCCAGGCTGGCTCCTGGCTGCCAGCCCATCCCTGCATTGCAGTCTGGCTGCAGGGCAGGGATCCAAAAACCAGCCGGAGTCAGCCCTCAGCCTCAGGCAGCACAGGCTGCGCTGTCTGACTGCAAACCAGGCAGGAGGCACAGAGCCTGGCCCAACCCAGCGGGGAGCAGACATGTGCTCTTGGAGGCTAAAACCTCCTTGCCTGCCGTATTTTCCTTCAGGGCTAGCTCCAAACTCGGCTTGACACAAATGCTGAGGAGAGCGAGCCCGGGGAGTAAAATACCAGCCAGGGGCAGGGCTGAGGGCTGAGAGCAGCTGGTGTGACAGGCCTTGCGAGGGGTGGCCAGCCCTTTCCGGAGCGCCACAAAGCCGAGAGCCTTGGAAGGGGGCGTTGTGTGTCGATGGGGCCCTGGGTGGGGGATGGTGCTCTTTGTAAATATGGCAGCCAGGAAATGAGGGGACTTGTAGGAAGTGCAAACTTCCTCCCTTACTTCCTCCGGTATAGATCACCTACCCCGGCCTGGCCCCCCCTTCGCAGAGCCAGCCAGCCCCATCTCAGCGAACAGATGAGTCCTTGCAACAAGCAGCTGCCCTTTTGCATTCTCTCTGATTTGGGTTGCTTCAGGCCAGTGGTTCTCACAGCGAGGACCACAGACCACTCGTGGTCCATGACCCTCTTGCAAATGCAAGCTCTGCTGCCCCAAAGGGGTGGGGATCCAGCTTGTGGGGGCAGGATGCAGCTCAGTGCACTGCCAGGCCCCCTCCTCCCAGCTGGGGGAACAGCAGCACAGGAAACCGCTCACCTGGAGGCTTTTCCCGCTGCTCCCATTGGCCGGAATTCCATGAAACGGGAGCAGCAGGCGGTGGTGCGGTGCGTGGGGGCGCGGAGCCAGGTAAGTGCCCCACATTCCCCTTATGCCCAGACCCCACGCCCCCATTGCCAACAAACATATTCCCTCCTACCAAGACCCCACACTCCCACCTTGCTCCTGCATCCTCCCTTCCGACTCAGACCCCCACCCCCACTCAATGCACTCCTGCATCCAACCTCCTAGCCAGATTCTTCACCCCAACCCCACTCCTGCACTCCCCCTCCTGCCCAGACCTAAATAACCCATCTCTTTCCTCCTCTCTACTGCCTAAGTGCCCCAGTCAACCTGCTACACTGTGGGGTTGCTAACTCTTAAGCAATTCCAGATTTTTTTTCCAAGCTGGAGCCATCTGCCGCTCTAGCCAACACTGCTTTAACACGCCCCTGCTGTCCCTGACCCAGGGGAACTCGCCTCCCATGACAACTGCCTAGGCCGGGTCCAGCCACGAAAAGACAAACAGCCATCGCCCCTTGTGCCGCTATGACTGGCCGACACGGATGGGCGCTGACCTCTTCCCCCTGCCATGGTGCCCCACAGCCTCACGCCTGCAGCATGATGTGACCTGAGGAGGGACAGACGGGCCCCTACGTGGGGGCTGGCCCCACAGGACAATTCAGGCTGCCCCTTCTCCTGAGAAGCGCCGCTCATTCCCGGACTGCCGACCTAGGCAGCACTGCCTAGGGTGGGGCGGGTTGGAATGAGGCTGCGCATCCATGTTTGTTGGGCAAACAAAAGGATTCACTACTCAGTATGCTTTTCAAGGCCTTCTAGGGATTTGCCCTCACTGCACCTAATAAATAATTTACCGGAGCAGAGTGTTGCAGCCGGGATCTCTGGGGACTCCACCCCTCCCCACACCCTTTGGTAAAGTGGCAGGAAAATTGGCTTGGCCTCC